TTCTCTGACTGCCTCCTCCTGCATAACAGGGGGGCCATTCTGCTCCCTGATACCATCTACCAACCCAGGACAACTGTCCTGAGGACAACCCATCTTCTCACTAAAGACTGAGGCAAAGAAGGCATTAAGCACTTCCGCCTTCTCATCTGCAGTTACCAAGTTCCCTCCCGCATCCCATAGAGAACAAAGGTTGGTCTTACCCTTCCTTTTACCATTGATACATTTGTAAAAACATTTTTTATCATCCTTTACAAAAGTTGCCAAATTAACTTCGAACTGAACTTTGGCCTCTATTTTTTTCCTACATGCCCTAGTGTCATGTTATGATGCTTGCATCCCCAGTCGTCTGTTCTGTGTATGCTGGATATTATGTTCTCTGCCTTCAAGACTGGTTCTGAAGAGCGAAGTTTTGTTTTGTTTTGTTATCAGCCTGCTCCCCCACAACTGGCGGGACACAGAGACAGGGCAGTACATAGTGTGGCTTTTGCTTTTTGCTTGGCTTTTGCTTTGCTCTGGCTCTTGCTTCTGCTCCTGAGAAGTCAAATCAGAAGACAAACTTTCAAAAAAATATTAAAAGTGGTAACATAAAGAACAGTTCTTTAATGAAAGCTTTCAGGTGCACAAATTATAGCTATGCTTACCTGCAGCATCAGATTTTCACAATTTTTATAAGTTTAACCAATTAGTATATGTAGTAAGTATATTCAATAGGAGACCAGTTGTCCTGGTAACCCACCCTTGGACCTGCCCCATTGGAGTCCCTCCAAGGGGTTCTTAGCCCTATATCTTGTTATGTCTCCCAAATGCTGATGCAAAACAGGATGTCCTTGTTAGAAATTCTTTTATTGGAAATAAGAGTAAATAGAATTTCAAGTGTGACGTGAGAAAGGCTAACTACTGTTCCAAAGCATAAGAAAGTGCTAGAACCTACACAGCTATATATTAAAAATCTACAAAGCTACAAATATATGAAAAAGCTAAAAATCTTTAGGCATCAATATAAACAAGATGCCTAGTGTAAACCAGTGCCTGGCATCTGTCAGTAAAGTGAGAGGAACATCTTAGAAAGGCTGATTTATCTCAGACTGCTGTATCCCATTTTAGAGGAGGATAAAAAACTTTTAGGAGGTGATTGAATTTCTCTTCAATGGATTTCTGTGTATTGGGGAGCAGATGTCTAACTTTTACATGGTAATCAAGAGGAATCAAGCTTTTGTTTTGTTAATTGTAGATGTTTTCTGATACCAGTTCTCCCTGGAATTGCTTGAGCCCAGTTACACAAAGCCCTTTGAACTTCTGGAGCCTTCAGAGTATGGGTGTAAGCATCTTGTCCAGGAACAGTGCTTTTCTGGCATAAGTAATATATCTATATCTATATCTGAATGTGCAGAAAACCTATGTTTTTAGTATCTTATTAAGTGAACTGCTTTAAAACAAAACAAAAAAGGTAACAAAAATATTTAGATTGCTAGTAGGGAGGGAGAGAAAAATGGCTAAAATTTTGCTGCACTGCCACAAGAAAGATTCAGGAGACTGGACTCTTGGCCTTGCACAATGGAGCTGCTTTTTTCATCCAGCATCAGGGTTGCAGCTGGAGCTTCATGGCACGGCCATGATGCTTCAAGTTGAGATCCTGGGAGAGCCTCGGGGAGTGGGAGATGGCTAAGACAGCAGTGAGGGTCTGGTAAGACAGGGTAAGACAGCAGAAGGGCAAAGGAGAAGGTTGTATATGTGAGATATGTGAGGGACGACGGACCTGAGCCGGCCAGGGGAGCACAGGCAGAGGGGTCACGTGGAAGGTCGGGGTGCACCTCAAGGCCACACTTGCGGCGGTCCCTCGGGAAATTGTTCTCCCCCCTGCGTTCTTCCTGCTTCCGGGGGCCGCCACGGGGAGCATTTGCCGCAGATGACATCAACTGTACATGCTGGAGAAGTGGCTGTGCGGGGATGCGCCGGCTCCCTCTCCCTCCCCCTCCCCGCCCCTTTTCCTGCTCCTTCTCCTCCTCCTCGCCAGGTCCCTGCCCTGCACCGTCTCCATATAAAAGCGCCGCCGCCTCCCCATCGACCCTCACTCCCTGCCTCCTGCGGGGCAGCCGCGGAGCGACCTTTCTCCCCCCAGCACCCCGGAGCTGCGGGGCAGAGGAGTGAGGCGCCGGCGATGGCCACCGTGGTGGTGGTGGAAATGGATTCAGAAGCCTCCTGTAGCATCCCCAACCCCACCTTCCTCTCGCCCAGCCTTTCGCATCGCTTCCTGGACAGAAAATTTTACCTGCTGGTGGTTATTGGCGAGCTGGTGACCGAAGAGCATCTGCGGCGGGCTATCGCCAACATCGAGCGAGGTGAGACGGCGGGGAGCGGGACCGACGCAGGCAGCGCCGGAGCCCCCATCCCGCAGACGCCTTCCCCTCAGAGGGCAGGCAGTCGCTCCCTGTTTTCTTCCCCTTCAGCGCGGGGCCAGCAGGGGCGCTGACCGGGTTCGGCCGGCGGGGTGGGGGTGCCTGGACGCTCCTTGCTTATGATCGGAGCGACACACGCAGAGCACAGACACATAAGCTGCGAAGTCTAGGTCTCTGGTTTTTTCTTTTTATTGCACGAGGGACTCTTCATCCCATCTGCGCGCACGCCCCTCCCGTCCTACCCGACTCGGAACCCCACCGTCGGGTGCGAGCGCCGGGAAGCCGCCCGGGGCGGTCAGCGACTGAGGGCCGGTCCCCGTGCGGCGTCTGGAGGCGACGGCGGCTCCCTGTTACCGCCCGCACAAAGATCCGTAGTCGGCTCGACTTGTACTGCACCCCACTGTTCATCCCCAAGAGCGTCTAGCGAGCAGCGGGTAAAGGCGGAAAGCCTCCTCCTCACCACTGTTGGGGTGGAGGGGCTGCGGCAGTGACCTAGAGCCGCCGAGACCTGCCCGGAGACAGTGGCGGGTGGGCGTGGCGCAGTCCGCACTGCGGTCCCTATGGCAGCCCAGAGCTGACAAAGGGCGTCCGCGCCTCCAAAAAACCCGGGGCTGGAACTGGGGCGGTCGGGCTGCGGGGCGGCCGTTTGGCGTTTCCCTCAGTTCCTCAGCAAACCCTTGTTCCCCACCGCGAAACCAAATCAGCGGGATTCAGAGCGTTTTCCTTCTCAGTGGCAAAGATCCCTGAGCAGGAATGCGGCTGTGCCTATTGTGTCTAACTTTCGGCTACGAGACTTTTCTCCTGGCTGGAGAATTTTTCAGGACCTAGGCTCTATATGCACATAGATATTTCAAAACCGAAAAAGATACGGGTAATAAGGCTAATACCTGAGTGATCAGCCTCATTATTGTCCAGCTACAGGATGCTATGACTCACTGTTTATTTGTCCTTAAGACAGCAATACAGGAAGGTATCACTAGTGAAATAACAATATTATAACTTCTCGATGTGGATTCTGATACAATAAATTGCAGTGTACATTGAGAGGGGAACAAAGCCCTGTTGCCATAATAGTGGCATGAAGCACAAAGAAAATTATTGCTGGGCTCTGTAGTTTGTTAAATTGAATTGATAAATGATTTTGTAACATATTTTTGTTCTAGGCTGGTGAAAACAGAAATATCAGAATCCTGTCATTGTTAGGAGAGAGAGACCTTGGAAAGGGGAATTGGTAGCAGCCGTGTCTTATAGGTGTGGTTCAGCAGTCCAGCTAGGACTTGATTTGTCTCTATTGTTTTCTCAACTATTGTTGCTTTAGTTGGCAATTTCTTTTGATTCTTTTTTCATAACTGTTTGTGGTAAAAGGCTCTCTCATCACTGCTAACCAGCTTCACTGTGACCTGTGTATGTTTATTGCTACAATTGTCTCCTAGGGACAACTACTGAGTCAGATGCTTTGTCATTCAGAGCCTCTTCAGCACTGCACTTGGCTAATGCTATCTTAAGTTTTGGTTGTGCCAGAAGTATATTGGCTGCATTTATTTACATTTTTGTCCACTTGCTCTATACATTTTAATACTTATGCCCTCAAAATGTTTGATGTCATCCTTCTCTGAAAAAATGCTCTTCAGTTTCTTCATTACACTCTTTTGTTAGTCTCTTCTATTGTACAGTTGCCATTACATAGCTCTGTTGCCTCTGTCTACCTCTTGCCACCTGCAGTTTTAGATCTTCAGAGGGAATACTTTTCCCTTTTTATTCATCATTTTGGGTTAGAAGTCACCTCACTGTTCCTGGTGTCAGACAATCTGATTGAAATTTTGCCTGCCAGGAAAAAACCTTGATCAAATTTTGAGGTGCATTGTTCTGGATGAGTATACTAGGAGTCTGAAGCTCTATGTGAGGCAAATATGATCTTGGCTAATCTCTTTCTTATGGAAAAATATGCTGTAGTCTTGAAAAAATGGCTTCTTTCAACCTTTATTCTCAACATAGCCTTAGGGTTCTTGATAACTGCCTCACTGTCTTCTCTGGTGCATCTCCTAAGTACCATCACTGAAAAGTGTGTATTCATGCAGTGAACTACAGTACATGTCAAACATCTGCTGATAACACATCAGTGGTGTGATACCATGCAACCTGGTGGAATGCAGAGTCATTTCTCAACATATCATGAACAGGGAATGGTATGGTGAGCTGCATTTCCAGTAATTACACTTAGGATGTCACTTTGTTAAGGGAGCAATCCTCCAACCCACTGTCCACCAAAAAAGGAGGAAGCAAAGACAAAACTTTAAGATTTTTCCACTCATTTGGCAGATGCCATTGGGTGTACCCTGTCTGCTGTCTGCTAAATCCTGTGTCTAGTGGCATTGCACTCCTAAGCCTGCAGAAATAGCTCCAGTTCAGTCATACTTCCAGTAGTTACTCCCATGCTTTTAATGATATACATCATTGGATTGGTCTTGGATTCTAGTTCCAGAATTGCCTCTGTTCTACCCAAACCTGATTTGGTAAATAATACATTATACTACATTATAATGTATGTCCAGATTTTTTGCATCCAGAATGCTGAATCATACAGCTGCAGATTTGGGATATTCTATTGTCATGGGTTGGCACTGGCACAGTGCCAGTGCACCCATGAAAATATATTTTTCTCAAATGGCTGCTGTGAGATGTGACCAGAAACAGAGCAGAGCAGGCTCAAGCTTAGAAATAAAGAAAAAAACACTTTATTAACCCACACTATAATAAAAGGAACACACAGAATTCAAAATAAAAACCTTCCAAAATATTCCTCCTCCCATCACCCAATTTCCACCAAAGCACAGTGAGACAAAACCTTGGATTCTCATTCAAGTTACCGCCTCTCAGATAATCAGTTCTCAGTTCATCAAGGGAGAGAGGAGTCTCTCTTTTACCATAGTCTTCCACAGGAAACACAGTTGAAACCTCTTGTGTTTTCATGTCACACATGGCACTACCCGGAGAAAATCTGCCATTGTGACATCCTCCTTCCATGATACAGTGCTCTCACCGCCATTCATGGACCAAAACTGCTTATAGGGTTTCTTTTAAGGATGCTTTGCCGGGGGGGGGGGGGGGGGGGGGGGTGCCCAGGACATCTCAGTGCTTCTCCACTCCTCCGTCCTGCAAGGGCCAGCCGGGTCCCATTCCCTTCACCCCCCTTCTCTGTCCGGGGTTCCAGCCTACCTCAGCTGAGGCCGCATGGCTTCCCCTCCCCCACCCAGCCTGTGGCGGGGCTGGGGAGGTCTGAACTCTTCACTGACTGAAACAAAAGAGAAAGTTCCTCAGGGCGTTCTCTGTTTTTAACCCCCTATGTTCTCAGAGGCGTGTCCATGTCTTCAGTGGTTACACCAGGTGTCGATATCCAAATCTGACCACTGATTGGTTTGGCTATAACTTCCCGAGAAAACTCACTTCCTTGTCAACCTATGACATCTATTCAAATCCCAACTTCAGCTTCTAGGACTATTGTGTGCATGGTATATCTAGGCTTTTTCTTTTTGGACATTTTGGAAATTACCTGGCTCATCAGTCTATGTCTAATCAGAATCTTATCCCTACTGCAAATTAGGAATAATTACAAAAGCAGCTAGGGATGGATGGTAGACAGATCCTAGCATTAGTAGCATTAAGTGGTTTGACCTTATCTGGATGCCAAGTGTCCATCTAAGCCACTCTATCACTCCTCTCCTCAAGAGGACAGGTATCATAGATGAATGACCCCCATCCAGGGAAAAACATGCAGTGACTCCAATGATTCCAGAAGACTGAGCAATTGCTTTATTAAGCTATACTATATTACACTAATACTATATTATAACTATACTAAAGAGATACTAAAGAAAAACCCATGACTGTCTCCAACAGTCACGACACAGCTTTGACCAAATTGACCAATCAATCCAAACAACCATCACTGGTGTCCAATTAACAAATCACTCTCCGTAAACAATCTCCATAACACATTCCACATGTGCCAAACAAGAGGTGCAGCAAGTAGAGATAAGAATTGTTTTCTCTTCTCTCTCTGAGCTTTCTCACTGCCTTTTTCAGGAAAAATCCTGGGAGAGAGAATTATGTCTCTCTCTGTTCAGAGAATGTGACTACCACAGACAGGGAAGTGAAAATATAATGAAAGGCTTGTGGGTTGAGATAAGGACAGGGAGAGATCACTCACCAATTACCATCACAGGCAAAACAGACCTGACTTGGGGAAATGAATTGAATTTATTACAAATCAAATCAGAGTAGGATAATGAGAAGTAAACCCAATTCTTAATAAAACACCTTCCCCCCCGCCCCTCCCTTCTTCCTGGGTTTTAACTATCCCTGATTTTCTACCTCCTCCTCACTGGTGGCACAAGGGGATGGGGAATGGTTGTTTCTGCCACTCCCTCCTCAGGGGGAGGACTCCTTGCCCTGCTCCAGCGTGGGCATCTCTCTCCACGGGTGCACAGGTTCTACCAGGAGCCTGCTCCAGCACTGTCTTCCCATGGGGTCACAGCCTCCTTCAGGGCACATCCACCTGCTCTGGTGTGGGGTTGTCCAAACGCTGCATGTGGATATCTGCTCCACTCTTAACCTCCATGGGCTGCAGGGGGACAGCTGCTTCACCATGATCTACACCATAAGCTGCAGGGGAATATCTGCTCTGGTGGCTAGAGCACCTCTTTCACTAACCTTGGTGCCTGCATAATTGTTTCTCTCACATATTTGCACTCCTTTCTGGCTGCAATTTGCTTCTGCACAATAACTTTTTTCCCCCCTTCTTATATATGCTATCGCAGAGGTGTTATTACTGTAACTGATTGGCACGGACTTGGTTCATCTTGAAGCCAGCTGGTGTTTGCTTCACTCAACATAGGAAAGGCTTCTGACAGTTTCTTGGAGAAGCCATCCCGTAGCTCCCCCAC